CAGTGCTTTGAGGCTAAAACACGTGATATGTATTCAGGTAAGTGCTTTGCAATGCTCACTGGGGAGACAGGTGAGGCAGAGAAGGCCAAGGGGTTTCCAGGGCCAGAGTCAGGACAGAGAGGGAGGGGTTAGACTGGCCAGGGTCTGGACGGGCCAGCCGCACTCCTGGCCTTGTCAAGGAAGGCCCCTTGGGCTGGGCTGCTTCTCAGGCCACGCCCATGCCCACCCTGGCTATTGGTCCACGCCCTGGGGCCTGGGGCAGGGAGTGGGCAGGGACTCTCTCCTTTGGGTTGGAATCAGCGACTTTTGGGTCCCACGTGGGAAGGGTCTGGGGTGTGTCCTCCCTGATCATCCGGGGCACAAGAGTGGGAACAGAGTGAGGGGGCCGGGGTCTCAGGGCAGGGGAGTGCTGGCGTGGGAGGCCTCCTTCTGAGTTTCCGTCTCGGGGACAGGCACGGAGGGGTTAATTAAGCAGGGTCGCACTCAGGCTGGTCGGACGAGTCCTGGCCCGGAGCACACCTGGTCCAGTGGGACCCCAGGGGCTGGCAGCCCTGACTTTGACCACCTGTCTACAGACACAGTGGTCAGCCGGCCAGCTACCTGTCTCTGTCTGTCCATGCCACATGGCAGTGGGGCATCCTTGACCGTCTGGTGCTCCAGGGGCCAGGAACTCGGAATTCTCTCACCTGCCCAGGCTCTGTCCCTGTGACAGGTCTTCCAGCACCAATTGTACTGGGCTAAGTGGTCTGGGTGTGACTGGGCCAGTGCCAGAGTCCGGGCAGAGCAAAGCTGAGGGGGCAGGGTTCGCTGGGGCCCAGGACATTGTGAAGTGTCGAGGCCGTGTTCCAGGGATGCCAGCAAAGGAAGTAAGTGTTCTCTTTGCGAAGGGTCTGAGGATAGAGCCCCCCGAAAATGCCAAGTGCTGGGGTCAAGGGGCTGAATGTTCAAGAGACACCAGGCTTGCTGTCATCCTTTCCAGAGGGAGAAAAGCAGACAACTTTTTAAAAATGGGCACCCAGGACTCTTGGGAAGGGCAGGAGGAGAGAAGGGAAGAGATGACGCTTAGGAACAGCAACAGACTTTGACCCAGAAGTCCCAGGATTGCTGAGGAGGGCGGCCCTCGTCTGTTCTGCTGCTGCAGAAGGATGCACCAGGTTCCCATCCGTCCAAATTGCCCACTACAGGGGGAGAGAGTCACATCACAAAAAAAAAGCACACACCTTACTCTTTCACAGAAGAAAGCATGTAATTTGGGTTTACAGAAATGAGTGTTTGTATCCGAGGTTGGATTTGTACAAGAATCCATCTAGATCAAGGGGGAATTGAAAATCCCTACACGGTACCTGGTAGGTCTGCCCAGGGGATGTTGCGGTGCCCCGACAGAGGCCTGAGTGGGGCCAACCCTAAAGCCTTCCTGCACGGCCACGCGTCTCTTCCCCAAAGCGCTCTGGCGACTGGAGGGCTCCTTTCCACGCTGCAGCGGCCTCAGTGCACATAGCGTTGCTCCTCCCTCTGTCCTGCTGCCTGTGTAGACCTGGGGAAGGTGGACCCCTTTTGCTGCGATTCTCACGTCCCGGTGCCCATGGGAGCCTCCCCAGCGCGGGTCGCCAGTGCCAGCCTGGACCGCCCAGCACCCCAGAGACGACGGTCTTTGGCCTGGAGCGGCTGGGACGGATGTGGAATGTGCCCACTCGGACACTTCCTGTGACTCCTGGGGACACAGAACGAGATGTCCACAGTGTGTCACAAGTCTACATAAACGTGGGTCGTACCACACCTGTTTGTATTTATACTCTCTCTTTTCTTACAGGGCAACGTGGGCATTTTTTTCTCTTCTCATTGGGACACTATCGTTTTTTTTTTTTCCAAACAATAAAAGAAATAAATAGAACACTTGTCTTAAATGCAAATGCAACTGAAATGCAAATTTAACAAAAACATATGATTGTCTGGTCTGTGGCAGCAGTGACTGCAGGGTTCACGGGGGCATGGGGGTATTTGGCACATTTAACTGCCCCACCCTGGTTATCGGTAACACAACACACAATCTTATTACACGGTTTTGGTCCTTCACTAGATACTTATATTAACATTATTTTTTCACAATAAGAATGTCTAATGCCAAAAATACTGTTAAGGAAGAAATAAAATAAGAAAAGAAACAAATTAGAAAAAATTACAAGTTATATACAGATTAAGGTCAATTCCATCAGGGAAAAAATTATTATTTGAAATTGGCCCCTATGGGAATAATTTAAAGCCCATCCGAACGGAGAAGTAGCTATGTCCCGAGAGGGGGAGGTGGCTGTCCCCGGGGCTGTACGGTCCGGATGCCCTTCTGTTCTCAAGCCACATCTCACCAAGAGCCCATGCCAGGAATCACGGGGCGCTGCGCTGTTGATCCCGGGTCTCATGGCGGCCTGCAGCGGTGGAACTAGGAGCATCCACCAGGGTGGCCATGGAGGACACGGAGGACACCGGCGCTGCCGGGGTCAGGTGCAGGGGAGGCAGGCCAAGCCCTGCCTTCAGAAGACAGCGGCGGCAAGGCCCTGTGAGGGCCAAGGCAAATACCCGGCTGGGTGCCCAGCCACACCTCCGCCTGGAGGATTGAGCCATGGCCCCTGACTTCCCCATACAATTGGGGGGTCTTGAGTTCCTCTGGAGGCCACGCGGGGGCCCTGGCACCCATTCCAGGGGACATGATGGCAGGCGTGCCTCCCAGTCCCATCCTCGGGCAAGCCTGCCACCCAAGGCGCTGTGTCTAAGAATTCCTCTGTGGAGTCCGTTCACAGGAGTGGCCCTGCACCTCTTGTCCGGCCTCGGGGGGCCCCCAGCATCACCTTGGCTTATACAAATAGGGTCAGAGATAGAAAATTTCTCCATTATCTACAATATAAAGAACACACCCAAGCACGGTGCTGGTTCCTAGGCAGACTTGGGTTTGCAAAGAAGCTGAAATTTCAAAGCAATGCAAAATTACTTTTAAAAAACAATTTGCAAGTCATTTTTTTGATTTTTAAAAAATACTGTCTATTTTTAAAACCACATGCTTAAATAGACTCTGTAGTCAATAGGATTACCAAAAGGGCTATTCTTGTCATTTTCACTATAAAAATCGTTTGAGCGACTTCACTCTCTCCAGCACACCTGTCTGTTTGGTCCCCTCTGTGGCCCCATGCAGGCGCCCGGCAGTGCCACCACCCTCTGCTTTGGATCGAGCTTCCACGCTGCCACAGATGGATTCTGCAAGGCTGCTCCGTGGACTGTCCCAGGACAGCATGTGCTGGACTGACCCAACAGTGTCCTCAAGGTCAATTCTAAGAGGTGGCGAGACTCTATGACTGCTTTAGGGGCTTCCGGCGTCTGAGTTTTCATTGGAAAAGGTGGGTCTGAACCACGGTGGTGGGGTAGGCGCTGGGCAGTAGTCACACACAGATGCAGGGGTTCTTGCGGTCCTGGCCGCCTATGTCCTCCGAAGCTGGTGCCCTTGCTTTGGACGCCGACCCCAGGCTCCCAGCCCATCAGAGGTGGTTAATGGGGTGAAAGGCTCCAGCCTCCGATGTGGCTCCTGTTATGTTCAACCAAGCGTCCAGAGAGCCCTGGGAGGGGGTGTGGAGAGGCGTGTCCTCAGAAAGGGACAGCATCATTGCATATGCCTGGCAGGGAAGAGGACACACAGGACAGGCAGGTGAGCAGCTGAGTGAGATTGAGCCTCACCCCTTCCCAGCCTCCCTGCCTCCCGCTGTGCCCTCACTGGCTCCAGCTCACCCTGGTCCACTTGGGGAGGGGAGAGCAAAGGGACCAAAGAGGCCAGAGTCCTCCCCTGGCCTGGCAGATGTGAGCAGGCGTGAGAGCGGGACGAAGGATGGCCACCCTCCTGCCCAGAGTGACACCAGGACCATGTTGCCCCGGCCAGGGGCCTCCCTTGGTCTTTCTGGGGTGCTCTCCCTCCAACTGCCTCTCCCCCCGCAGGGTCCTCCACCTGGTGATCAACAAAAACGTGTGGACACATGTCTGGGAGGGCCCGGGGGACTGGTGGCAGTTACTGCCAAGAACTCGTGTCAACAGGAGTTAGTAGGGGACGCCTGTTTTGGCGACTGTGGTGATGCCACCCAGCTACTTCTAGGAAAGGGCTGTACTGCGTTGCTCGCCGACGGGATGATCAGACAGTCCGGGGACATGCTTCTGTCCCGAACTGCATGGCGGGAGGGGATGGAGTTGGGGTGCCCAGGGCATCGTGTGCAGGTTAAGGGTGGGGGAGGGAGCGGCCCGCCTAGTGAACACTCTGGACAGAATTAGTAAAGAGACAAAGACAGACATGCAGACAGCTTTCCTGAGACTGTAGTGGGGCTCCTGGGAGGGCTGCAGGGAGCCGAGTGAGATCCCAGCCACTTGATGGGAAAAAGAGGTGAGCTCCTCTGACCACCAGCCCCACAGGGTGGAACCAAGATGTGTCTGGGGCCAGACCTGAGCCTTGCTGACCTCATGACCACCTGACGGGGCAGCTTTCCCTGGGAATAGCCTTGACTGCCAGCCACATGGGCTCAGATCAGAGAGGGAGGGAGACCGAGACAGCTGGGCAGGCTGGACACCTGCTCGTGGGCCTCTCCCATGGAAGATGACCACTCGCATGTGTCCACGAGGACGTGGCATTGTGAGGGCTCTGCCCACGGTCATCTGCCCTCAACCCTGGTCTGCGGGAGGACTGGGCCTCTCTCTAGCGAGGTGCGGGTGTGGGAGGTGGTGTCCTCAGCTCCCCTGGGCCTGGGGTGGCCGCAGAGGGGGGACAGTGCCAGGCTGTCCCGGGGCTGAGGGGGCGTGGGCTCTGACGGGTACCTACCTGGTTCTTAGCCTGCCTGCACAGGGTCTGTTTTAAAGCCTCAGACTCTAAGGTGGAATTAAGCACATCTTTAACTTCAAATGCTTCCTCAGCTGCTCTGCGGAGGTCCAGACCCTTCCCAAAAGTCGGCATCGGCTCCAAAGCTAACAGACCGCCTTCTTGCTCCTCAACACACCTGCACCAATGACCAGGGAGAGGGGCCTGGCGTCAGCCGGTCTGGCTTCGGCGCCTGTCTGATGCCTGCATGCACGCATGGGGTCTCCACAGGCCACATGCACAAGGAGACAGACACACGGACACATGGACACCGGGTGGGAAGCCACATGGATGCAGGAGAGCAGTGGACAGAGGGCCGGGAGGGGGCGGGTGCATGCATGCGGCAGGCAGAAGGCGGGTGCCCAAGTCCTGGGGGTAGGGCTGGGAAGGCAGCCTTGTTCTCCAAGGCTCTGGGCAGCTGTGGGGGGCCCTGGGTGTCCCCTCCCAGGACTCAGGGGCAGCATTCAGGCTGCAGAGGGCGTCCCTGGGGATCTCAGAATGCTGGCAGCAACACCCGGGTTGAAAGGAGGTGGCCAGCAGCAATGACATGGGGGACGTGGTCCTGGCTGGCACAGGTTCCAAAGTGGTGGGTGCTCAGCTATTACAACCCAGGCTGGATAGCACTGCCGGGCCGTCGGGCAGTGGGTAGCTCCCCTGAAGGACCTGGGCCTCCACTTCCACTCAGTGTGGGAAAATAAACGCCTTCCCCACCGGATCTGCTTCTAGCCTCCAGAGCCCCCAGGGATGTGGGGGCTCCCTGACCCCCTGCCTGGTCCCACTTTGCCCCAGCCAGTGCAGAAGCCCCCGAGGTAGAGCCTCCCGCTCCTGCAGGGCGGGAGACCCAGCCCAGGACGGGCTCACAGCGTTTGAAGCAGCGGGACCCCGGCGAGGCTCAGCCCCTCCCTGCCTGGCCCAAGCATGCAGCTGCCCCCACCTTCGGGTGTGGTCAAAGCCCATGGCCAGGGAGGTGGGTGGCTCCTCGTCCTCCTCGTCCTCGAAGACAGCCTGGGGTTCGGGTGCGGGGGACACGGCGTCGTCCTGCGACTTCCCGGCCAGGCTGTCCTCGTCGTCCTCCAGGTCCTCGTCCTCCTCCTCCTCCACGTCATCTGGCTTCTCAGCCAAGACTGGACACTGGGAACTGGAGTCCAGATCCTGGATCTCTGGTCTAAGATGAGCAGGAGGAGGTTGGCCACGCCTGGGGGCCTCTCCCTTCACCCCCAGAGTCTCCACTGCCTCCCCCATGGCCCTCGCGGCCCCCTCCCCAAGGATGCTGGCATTCCAGGGCAGGAAGACACGGAGCAAGGGTCCTGGGGCCGCTGGGTCCGCCCCTCAGCCCAGCCACTGACCCTGCGGAGTTAGAGAGATGGACTCGGGTGAGTGCCCAGGGTGGCGGGGCAGGGCCAGTCCGCTACACAAGAGAGGACACCAGGGCGGGTGCGAGTGCTGGGGAGGACGTGGCGGCTGGCCCTGCAGGGAAGGTGGCCCTGCACGGGTGCTGGCATTGGGCACTGCGCAAGGTGTGCCCTCAGGGGAAACTTGGGGTGGGAGGCTTCAGGGCCCAGCCCTGCCTGGGGCCCTGGAGCATGAGCACTCCTCCCGGTCTGCACGAGAACTCGAGGACGTGGGCCTGGGCCAGGAAGCCGGGCCACCGGGCAGCATCTGGGCTCCCGGGTTCCAGAGAGCGGGGGCTGGCCAGGGCGAACTCGCTTCGGAGCCTGCAGATGACTCTCCCACGGTGCCACCGCCTCGTTACCCCTGGGGTCACTGCAGCCAGTGACCCTTCCACTCAGGTTCCTCATTATTAAAGGAAAAGGCGCAGACAGCTGTGGGCGGGCGAGGGCTCTCATTGTTTTCAGGAAGAGCAGCTGGAGTTCGGTTCATCTGCAAGTCTGTGACCTAGAGCCGTGTCCTGGGTGGGCTGGCATCCCAGGGAGCCGAGGATCACCCGGAAGGTGCTGGATACGTGGAGGTAAGGGCTGCGGGGCCTGGACCGCCAGCTCGGAGCTCCAGAGTCCATGCCTCCTCATCCTCACCCCATGCAGAGGGACCATCCACTACACCCCGGGAGGCACTGTGATCTCTGGGAGTCAGGGGTCCTGTTCTTAGCATCAAGGAAGATGGTGACAACATCGCTGAGGGATTGACCTCCAACATAGAGCTGCAGCCAGGATTTGCCTGTGTGCACGGGGCTAGGCCGGGGCTCCCTGTTTTCCTGGCACTTTCCTGTGTCTCCACATGGAGGCATTGGAGAAGCTGACAGCTGCTCTGCCTTCCGGGATGAGTAGAGCCTCAACTGATTTCAGGGCTCGAGGCTGTGCCCCTTGTCACTGGTCACCTGTGTGGGTGACCAGCTGGGGTGTCTGTGCACACGCTGTCTCCCAGCCACGAGGGCTCTGGGCTCTGGGTCCTGCCTTTGCCCTAGCTCTTGGTGAGTTTTCCCTGTGGGGCCTGCACCCTCTTGGTGACTTGGGAGTGTACTCTCCACTGTTTATCCTAGGATGGGAGAGCCGGCTTCCTATGTGGCCATGTGTCACGACAGTCCGGCAGGCCGCGTGGCTCTGTATCAGATCTCATCCCGTGGGAGCAGGGCTGTGTTCTCCACCTTTCCATGTACAGAATATTTGCTCACTGGTTGGTGGAAGGGCTGTGTCCAGCAAGGACAGCGTACAGGGCCCAGCAGGCCGGTGTTGGCACCCTTCGGGAGGACAGTCGCCTGGTGAGGGGATGTGTGGTGTCCTGGGCTGCCGTGATGATACCACAGACTGGGGGGTTGCAAGTAAGGGGAACGTGTTCTCCGTGGCTCTGGTGGCCGAGTCTGAGGTCGAGGTGTGGGAGGCCGGGATCCTCCAAGGCTCCGTGGCTGCCACGTTCCTGGGCGGTCCCGGGCTTGTATACACCACCCCGAGCTCTATCTCAGCCACCATGGTGTTCTCCCTGAGTGCCGTCTCCAGTGTCCCTTTGTATAAGGACCCCAGTCCAACTGGATCAGGCCCCTTTGCTCCAGTGGTCCACTTTAGAGACCCTACTTCCTAAGAGAGGCACCTTCTGCAGTGCTGGGGGCGAGGACCGCCACATGAGACTGTTGAGGAGATGCAATTCATCTCAGAGCTGGGCTTTTGCCCTGATGGTTAGGAGGAGGAAGCTGCTTCTGAATGAGAGCCAGGGAATGTCCACATGTGCCCGTGGCACTGCCAACGTGCCCACTGGCTTGGGCCTGGCCGATGCTCGGTTCTCACTCTCCCCAGTGACATGTGCAGTTCTCGGGACAAGGCCAGCTTGGCCTGAGACCTAGCTGCTGCAGGACGGGCTGGCCACCCGTCCAGCTCCTGGAGACAGCCTTCTGTCCTGGTGGGTCTATGGCCTGCGACTGGGCTGCCACTGCACTTGGGCGTGCGGGCCTCCTGTCCTTGGGCGCTAGGACTTGGCACCTGGTCCCGGGCCCACCCCAGCACAGATGCCACTGACACATCCTCCCTTGTCTCATGTCAGGCTGAGCCCAGGGGCTCCCAAGAGCAAGACGCTCTCTCGGTGTGAGGACCTGCCTCGGGGCAGGGTGAGGCTCAGGTGAGACCCGGAGTGTGGGTGGCAGCACCTGTCTTTAACACACAGATTTTTTTGATGGGTAGGGATTGCAGAACATGGACAGCCCTCGCATGTGTGTCCTCAGGTGGCCGGGTTCCATTCCCATCCAGTCAGCGTCTGGAACCCAGTACGGGGACCCTGGGGGCTCTGTGGGTGGCAGGGCAGGTGGGCTTGCGCTGAGGTGGGGGTGAGGCTTTGGGAACCGCAGCCCATAGCCAGCCTCTCCTGTACCCTCCTGAGCCCACCCTGGGCTCTGATAGATGCAGATGCTGAGGGTCTTTAAGTGGGATCACTCCTAAGGGCACAGGTTCAGGGCTCGCCTTTGCCAGAAATGGCCCGGGCGCCTCCCTCATTTATTGCGTTAGCCACGTCTTCCCCGGGTACTCCCCACCCCACCCCGAGAACCTGTGGCAGGGAGGAGCGCATGGGCTCCTGGGGAGCCGGGTCTAGGGGCCCCTCCCTTGCTTGCAGATGGGCGGGTAGGGTGCCCTTGGCCAGTATGATCAGGGTCTGGGCTCTGGCTCCAGGTTCTGTGCCCTGCCCGGGGGTTGGAACAGGACACCCACTTCTCTGGGCCTTAGTTTCCTCTCTGCAGAACTAGGGCTGGAGTCGAGCCTAGGTTCTCCGCACTAGCTTTTACCCAAGGGGGACCTCTCGCTGGGGTGTCTGAAGCACTTTCCCAGGGGAGGGGCCCAGGGCAGGTGACACAGAGCCCCGGGGTCCAGGGCTACACAGAACACGCCCCAGCACTCCAGAACCCACGCTCTACTTTCTGGCTGCTCTGTGCATATGTATACGTGTGTGTGCATATGCAAACATGCACAGGTGCACACACTGTGCATGTATCTATACACACGTGCATGTGCGTGTGTATGTATGCCTGCATGTTCATGCATGTGTACTCATGTATGTATGTGTCCACACACGTGCACGAGTGTGCATGCATGCATACGTGTGAGTATACATGTATATTTATGTGTGCCCACACGTGTATATGGGTAAATGTGCATGTATGTATGCACATGTGTGCATGTATACGTTTGTGTGTTTAGCAGTGCAGCACTTTTGTTTGAAACCTTGATTGCCTCGATGAACTGGAATGTCCTTGAGTCTCGGAGGCATGGCTGATGGTGGCCAGAGCCCTGACCTATGTGCATTTTGCACTCACACCTCCAGCGGCCAGGCCAGATGGTGTGACTGCCTCTTAGTCTGTGAGCTGGGTGTTGCTGTGCTAGCAGTTCCAGGGTGTTTACTCTTATGACCCTTTCCAGGTGGGGAAACTGAGGCAGGCAGACAGCTCCCCCAGCTTCCCAGAGCCTGGGACCTCACCCTCTGCCACGGGGCCCTGGTGTCCCCATCCAGATTTGCTCAGGGCTGGTGCTGGGTGGTGGCCCCCCAGGCCCAGGGCTGTTTTCTTACCGTTTGTCTGTTCGCGTTGATGTTTGGTTCATTTCACTGTTGGCAATAAAGTTTCTGATTTCGGAGAAATATGAGTCTTCTTTCTCGTCTAAAAGTGCGTGGTTGTCCGACTCAGAGGTGGGGGAGGAGGTGCTGGTGCCCAGGTGGTTTGTGAGGACCCCGGAGTGCTGGCTCACTGCGGGTTGGGGGGAGCGGGGGTGTCAGGGGTAGACTTCAGTGGGTCCCCTCCCTCCTCTGGGCACCAGTCAGGGGGCTGTCGGTGCACATTGGGGTGCTCTTGGGGACCTCACTTCTTAGGGACACCCGAGAGCACCAGGGTCTCTGATGACAGCGACCCAGGCTGCCTTGCAGCTCCCGCCCCCGGGAGCTGCCCAGCCCACCTGGCACATTCTCGTGCTCGTGTTTCTTGAGGTGCCTGTCCAGATTGGTCTGCTGCCCGAAGCAGCGGTTGCACAGGTGGCACTTGAAGGGCTTCTCCTTGTTGTGGATGTTCCGGACGTGCCGCTGGAGGTTGGAGGAGATGCTGAAGGAACGGTCGCAGTACTTACACCTGCAAGGCACATGTGTGTCAGCGCCGCTGGAGGGGCCCGGCAAATGCAGGGCCCAGGGCAGGTGGGGCTGAGCCACACGGGCTGGGAGAGAGCTCTGAGATCTGTGCTCAGGTATCCTCATCCCCCGGGGCTGGCAGGGCCGTCCCCAGCCTGCAGTGAGCACTTGGGAAAGCGAGAGTCAGACACCCCTTCCCCCAGCTGCTTCCAGGGCACCTGGCTTCTGCTCCCCCTTGCAGATGTACCCTCCATGGTGTCCCTGAGGTCACCGGGTCACTCGACTTGAGAGTCAAGACATCCCGGGAAAGCTGTTCCTGGGGACAGTTCGGCCCGAAGGAGCAGGTCTTTATAGGCTCTGTCCCCATTGTCCTGGGGGACGGGTCCTGTTGGAATGTGTCCTATGCCTCCTGGGCATGCGGTGCCCCATTCTCTGGCTCTCCTGCCCTCTGTCATTGGGTCCCCCCCAGGCCAAGGCCCTGGGGCCAGCAGGTCTGCAGCCGGAGGGGGACATGCTCCAGACGTCCTCTAGAGGGCGGCCGTGCACTGCAGAGAGACGTTTCAGGCGGGGTGCTCCACCTTTCTCCAGCACCCTCCAGCTGGCCGGGGGCCCTCAGGCAGGCCCCACTTCAGATGGGGCCTCAGCTGGCCTGGCCTTTGGCTGGGAGCCCGCGGGTGGCCGCGGATGTTGTCACCTGCTGGTCGCCTCCCCTGCTAAGGACACAGATGCCCTCGCAGACCCCTTTGGACACTGCCAGCTCTGTGCTCAGTTATCCTTATTCCCCGGGGCAGGCAGGGCCGTCACAAGTCTGCACTGAGCACTTGGGAAAGTGAGAGTCAGATGCCCTTTCCTCCAGATGCTTCCATGGCACTGGGCCAGATGTTATCACACCCTCTCGTATGCATCAGAATGGCCCTCCACTGCGAGAACATTGTTGGAAGGAGCGGTCGAGGATGCCTGCTGCGTAAATGGTGCCCCCCCCAGAGCAAGGCCCTCATGCTGGGCACGACCTTCACACCCACACTTGGTGACCGCGAAGGCGGGGAAAGGGAGGCGATTCTCTCCTGTTTTATAGAGGGAGGTTGAGCACGTGCGCCGGGGCAGCAAGAAAACCAAGCCTGAAACAAAGCGGGAGCTGGGGGTCGAGAGGGTTGATTGGAAACGGTGCCTTCCGGGCTCTGCAGACTTCCATGCACTGCCTGGAGAGGTGGCCTTCCCCGGGGGGGGGGTCCAGGCAGAGCCGGGGCAGCTCACTGAGGGGCTTTCCCACTGGACCCGTGCACCCCGCAGATGACGGCGGAGGGAATCCTGGCTCCGTGGTTTTCAGTTGCACATGTGTGTGTGTGCAGGATGTAGGCATGCATGAACTTGTGTGTGCTCATGCGTGTGTGTGCGCACTTGGTCATCAGAACTCCCCTAGGAATGCTTATCTGAATCCCAGAGACACCCAAACCCTTGAAAATCTTGTTTATGTGGTCATGTATTTCCATGTTTTGAAAACAAAATGCCCCGTGAGGTCCACAGCAGAACATGCGGAGAGTAGAGTGCTGTGGGATCTTGGCCTGCAAGACTTTCAGCAGCCAGAGCCCAAGCAAGGAGCCCTCAGGGGGACACGAGGATGAGAAAATTCTGTTTACCCAACAGACAGAGCACGGCTGTTCTAAGCAGGCAGTCTTGGGGCCCCACAGGAGGCCAGGACTCTGTAGGCCCCACTCCGCCCCGACTGGTGGGACCGGCATGGCATACTGACCACACATCCTTGTCACATGGATGGGACATGGCTAAGGATGCTTCAGGAGCCCTGGCCTCCCATGCCTGGGGGGACTGTTTAGGAGTGGCTAGGTCACAGCTTCTTCTCTCACAGCCTGTGACCCCGCATCCCGGCCTGGACCTACCACCCGCAAAGCCTCAGGGGAGGCACTGCTGTTTTGTTTTTCTAGGCCTGTGCAATAACTGAGGAGTTGGGGCCTGGGCCTGAGGCCTCTAACCTGCAGGGTCAGAGAGGCTTGGATGCCCCCTCCTCCACGTGCCCAACTTTCCCACGTGACCCACCCCTCCCATGTGACCCACCCCTTCGTCAGTAAAGAGCAATTTTACCTCTTTCCCTTAAACTCACAGACACTCCAAGGGAGCCAGGCTCCCTGGCCTTCCCGCTCTTTCGGGTGAGTGCTCAGGAAGGACAACTTGATTTTACGTCTCCAGACCAAACGCAAGCCACGCTGCGGGCCTGGAATACATCCCTGCACAGCGAGAGGCTTTCTGCTGAGCAGAGCTGTGGGTCCCGGCATAGGCATGCCTGCCTGTCTGTCCACCTGTCTGTCTCTGTCTGCCTGCCCGTCTGCCTGTCTATCTGCCTGTCTGCCTACTTGACTGCCTGTCTCTCTGTCTGCCTGTCTGCCTTCTTGTCTATCTGTCTGCCCATCTGCCTGTCTGTCTGCCTGTCTGCCTACCTGTCTGTCTGCCTACCCACCTGCCTGTCTCCCTTCCTGTCTGTCTGCCTGCCTGTCTGCCTGTCTGCCTGTCTGCCCACCCACCTGTCTTCTCTGTCTGCCCATCTGCCTATCTGCCTGCCTGTCTGCCCACCTGTCTGTCTGCCTGTCCACCAGTCTGCCCTGCCTGTCTGCCTGTTTGTCTGCCTGTCTCTCTGTCTGCCTGTCTGCCTTCCTGTCCATCTGCCTGCCCGTCTGCCTGTTTGTCTGCCTGCCTGTCTGTCTGTCCACTCATCTGTGTGCCTGTCTGTCTGCCCACCCACCTGCCTGTCTGCCTACTTGTCTGCCTGTCTCTCTGTCTGCCTGTCTGCCTTCTTGTCTATGTCTGCCCATCTGCCTGTCTGCCTGCCTGTCTGCCTGTCTGTCTGCCTGTCTGCCTGCCTGTCTGTCTGCCTACCCACCTGCCTGTCTCCCTTCCTGTCTATCTGCCTGCCCGTCTGCCTGTCTGCCCACCCACCTGTCTGTCTCTGTCTGCCTGTCTGTCCATCTGTCTATCTGCCTGCCTATCTACCTGTCTGCCCACCTGTTTGTCTCTCTGTCTGCCTGCCTGTCTGCCTGCTTGTCTGCCTGCCTGTATACCTGCCTGCCTGTTTATCTGCCCACCTGTCTGTCTGTCTGCCTCTCTGCCTGCCTGCCTGTCTGTCTTGCCTACCTGTCTGTCTGCATGTCTGCCTGCTTGTCTGTCTGTCTGCCTGCCCGCCCACCTGTTTGTCTCTGTCTGCCTATCCGCCTGCCTGCCTGTCTGCCTGCCTGTTTATCTACCCACCTGTCTGTCTGTCTGCCCCTCTGCCTGTCTGTCTTGCCTGCCTGTCTATCTATCTGCATGTCTGCCTGCTTGTCTGTCTGTCTGCCTGTGGTCTGCCGGTATACTCATACACGCAGCTCGCGTGGGTCCTGGTTTCTTTGAACATGGGGGCCCTCTCACAAGCTCTGCCTAACGGCTCCTGCATAAATCCTAGTGATAGAAACTGGAGTGAGAAACGAGCCTGGAACCAGAGCTCGCTCCTAGAAGTGGAGAGTGGGCCCCTTGTGGAAAGCTCTGGGCTGGGGAGGGCCGTGGAGGGGGCTGGGCATTCAGTCTGGTCACAGAGAGTCCTGGATGTGGCCTCTCCTGTTTCTAATCTAAATAAATGGCCCAGACAAAAAAGTCCATTTGAAATTTAGGGGAGCCGTGAGCCCAGGGCTGCGAGGGAGCAGAGTTCTTGGAGCAGCTGGGATCTGCGTTGTAAATAAGCTGACAAGTGGCCAGTGAAATTTATGGCCTTACTGTATAAAATAACATGCACTGAGCTCCAGAAGGAATGAGAGAGCAGGCTGGCCCGGCCCGGCGTACCGAGGAGGGCCTTGAGAGGACCTTGCTCTGACCGCGTGGCCAGTCCTGGGAAGCCAGCGACACTAGGGACGCCACCCGGGCAGGAGGGGGAGCCGGCCAGCCCTGGGCCCTAGAGCCCTGGGCAGCAGCATCCTCCCTGGGATCTTCAGGGGCCACCACCAGCCGTCAGGGGAAATACTTTTGGTCATTGAAAAGTGAGAGAGGAAAATAGAGAAGAGATTTAAAAACCCAGTTCTAAAGATAAAACTAAAAAGAAAGACACATGGGCCACCTGTAGCCTGTGACAGAATCTTGGCTATCCCTCCTGGGGACTTCGCAGCCCAACAGGGATGCCAGAACAGCACCTGGGAGACACGGGGGAACACAACTGTGACCGGGAGGCAAGTGGCCCTGAAAGGGGAATCCCAGGTCCCAGCAGGAGCCTGGCCACCCGGGACACTCCATCGGGGCGTGACCGCAGGTTCTATGTGACAGCATCTTGGAGAGATGTCACATGGCAGCCAGGACAGAGCCGAGAAGAACCCTCTTGTTCCCAGTTCACTTTCTATTTCTCCAACCTGAATCCCACAAAGCCCCCATGCTTTATTATCATTTTTGTTTTTAAGAAATGAGAGAGACTGACTGAACCTCGTCGTCCAGTCTCCCTTGGAGATGTCTAGGCCAGGAGAGGCCCAGGGTAAATTCACCTCTGGGAAGTGTGTTTTCCACACCTGTCCTGGGGTCTCTCTTTCCCGCACCCACCCCAGGGTCTCTCTTTCCCACACCCTGGGGTTTTGAACGTGTTCTGAATGATTTTAAATCATCTGAGCAAGGACTTGGAAGGAGGCGGCATCCAACGCTGTCTGATCTAACTGCCTGACGACTCGAGGCAACTGCGAGCTGCCCGCTTCCTCTTGCTTGCGTGGGGCCTGCGTCAGCCTGGCCTCTCCAGGGCACACACATACGCACACGGGGGCGGGCACTGCAGTGGGGCTCGTGCCTGCCTGGTGTGGGGCATCGCGCTCGGCACGGTGAGCCTCAGGGGACAGCGGGCACGCTTTCCTCTTTCAACTGAAAATCCTTCCGATTCTCAAAGCCAGGCGGGAACCCGGCAGGAAGGCCCCATGCTCCAGAACCCCCAGCTCAGGCCAGCCTCGAGCCAGATAAAGTCAGGATTTGCAACACAAACTTGCAAAGCAATTACTGTTACCGAAGTCGAAACTCACAGATTGGAGAGAGCAAAAGAAATCAATGATAATTAAATTCTTCTATAAACACGGCCTGACTCTCTGGGGGCTCTTAGTTCGCAACACTGTCCAGAAGTCGGCTCTCATTACAGAAAAAACACTCGGCCTGCTTTTGGGGAGGGGACCAGACCACATAAATCTTTCTGTTGCTAGTCTTTGTTAAGTCGCCCGTCACTGTTTTTCAAGGTGCACAAGGGCGGCCTGTGTGCCGGGGAGGGCTGGGGCAGGGAGGAGTGCAAGCCAGCATTCACCCCGAGGACGGGGCTCAGCCCCGTGGTTGGGCCTGCACTTGATGACTCAGTGGGGTTTGGGGAACACAGGCCCAGGTGCCTCAGGTGGAGACACAAGCCGAGTGACTGTCACACGGTCACTTGCTGGGGACCGCAAGCTCTGTGTGGCCAGAATGCAGCAGTCGTGTGCCATTAACTCAAAACCACACTCAAGTCTCCTGATTCCCGGCAGCCTCTGCTCATCAGACATACCAGCACGTGCGACCAAACCAGTCTTGGCTTAGTATCCAGTGTTTCCCCGTGTGTCTTGTGGGCACAGTCGCCTGCGGCTCTCGTCTAAAATGCCAACTCCCAGACCCCTCCCTGACCGAGTGGGCTAGGCAGGGGTTGGACAAGGTCAGGGCACCATCCTCAGCCCTTCTGCCTGACAAAGGCTCAGAAACAGAGAGATGGCGGGCCAGGCCTCCTCTGGGGCCAGAATAGTAGGCGGAGGGGATCATGTGAGTCTCTGAACTTGACACTCTCAACTTTGAAGTGGGGATAACAGGCCTCGCCTGGAGGCTGTTGGGAGGTTTAACCATTTAACCAGGTTAAATGGCCCTCCCATCCCGAGGTGCCTGTGGCTGCTTCTCAGTACATGTGGCCTTTGCTCACAGAGAGAGGAGTCAGGTGGGATCTTGGCAGCAGGCAACCACTTCCCACCCAGGGCTGTCACAGGGACCCCAAGCTGGGGGTAGAGACCTGCATCTGTGGGAGCTCCTACCCTGCCTCTGCCCACTCCCTGGTTCACTGCCTGGCAGGGGGCAGCATGGCCTTGGGATGGGCAGAGTCAGGCTGGGCGTGGTAAAGCTCAGGTTTTCTGCCACACAGACCACCCTGGGCCCTGATTCCCGGTCAGCCCTGCTGTGACACTGAGCCCTTGCCCCGGTGGACACCCCAGAGGCAGATGGAGAGCTGATCTTTGACAGTCTCCTTTGTGAGTCAGGGAGGAGCCTTCTGGAAGGTTTCTGGGCACCCCTGCCTCATCCTCATGGAGCATCCCAGGGAGCAGGCCAGTGGTGGGGCCAGGAGGAAGTGGTCAGGGTGATCAGATCTGAGACCTCCACACGGGCGCCTGGCTCCCACCCACTGACCATCAGAGCTGCTAGATCCAGCAAGGCACCCCTGGGGGCCGACGCTTGCTTCCAAGAGTGGTTAGCTGTGCCCCGAGGCAGGCGGCCCTGGCTTCCCACACCTGAACTGGGCGGCCCCTACCTGTACGGCTGTTCTCCGGTGTGTGTCCTCAGGTGTCTCGTGAGATTTGCTGATCTGGGGAAGATCTTCCCGCAGTACCTGGGGTGGAGGGAGGTGGGGAGCGAGAGGCCATTAGGGTGGGTTCACAGTGCCATTTCCTGGGAAAGGTCTCAGTGCAGGTCCCCCACCTGGTGTGTAGGTGGCCCTGCTGCATCCTGGCTCACAATGTCTTCTGCAGCCCTGGAGCCTGGTCTTGGTTTCACAGAGAAGTGTGAAATGGACAGGAGCAGATGAACCTGCCTGGCCATGAAGCATGTCAGCCCTGAAGCCCAGTGGTGGACAGAGTCAGCCCAGACCAGCTTGGACAGGCCCTCACCAGTGGAGGTGGCTATGGGACGTGTTTTTCCAACACTGGGAAACCCAGCCAAGGCTGCAGTGCTGGGCTTCTGGCTCCCTAGAGCCGATTAGACCCTGACCAGCACACCTTGGCTTCAAGTCTTTCAGATTTAGACGGCCGGGCCGAGGTGACATTTTCTTGCACTCCCATGAGCCTGGTGGGAGGAAGGGAGGCCCACTCGGGTCACTCATTTGCAGAGGATGACCCCATGCAGACAGTGGACCAGTTGTGGTTGCTGTGTTTCCCTGTGGCTGGGACTCTGAGTTTCTGTCAGAAGCACAGGTTCATAGGCAGCCAGGGTGGTGGCACCGGAGCCCCCCAGGATTGTCCCACCACACCCCAGGAAGCCTCACCTGCACGTGTATCTCTCCTTGCCCTTCCTGAGGATGGGGTCCGAGAGCGTCGGGGGTGGGGACCGGAAGTTGAAGGGGTGGTGGGGGAGGGGCTGCAGGGAGCTGCCCAAGTCAGCCTTCATGGCCGCGAAGCTCTCCAGCTTCTCCGTCATGGTCTCGATGGCGGACATCTGTGGGCACGAGAGAGGGGAGTGTATGGACTGGGCTGAGTCACCACCTGTCTTTGGGGGTATGGACTACCTCATGGGCCCCTGGGGGTCCTGTATGTCTGAGCACATCTGCAGGTGGTCTCCTGGTGTCTCCTTGGCCACCGGGCCGGCCTCCTTCACTCCTGTGGCCATCCTGCTCTTGCTCTTCCTTGGACGCCCCAACTGGGGTCCAGGGTCTGCCCTACGGGAGCTGGAGCTGACCTTTCATGCCCAGCCTCTCGCCTGGTGTGGGTGGGACCTGACTGACCCAGACCCCTGCTGGGTGTGGTCACCTAAACCCTTATGTGACCCAGGCCGGTGACACCCAGCTGACTTTACCCCTGGTAGCACTCCCGGTTGGTTAGTTTGGCTAAAATATGTGATGGCGTTTAGTTATTATTATTGTTTTGTAAGTCTTGAAAAATGAAGATAGTAGCCTGAATCTCAGTTTAAAACCTAGAACCTCTGTAACCAAGTGGCAGTACGCCGCCATTGCAGGCGAACTACTAAAGAGGATCCCAGCAGTCCCTTTAAGGGTAGATGCCGAGAAGAAAATATTAAAACAATGATGCCAAATGTCACACGGCACAGAACAAGCTGAAATGGGCAGAAGGAGCTGCTTCTCTGCTTCATGGAGGTGACAAGGGAGCATGGGATCAGCCTTATCCACCTGGTGGGCAGAGTTCTGCCTAGAATCCCGGACTTGGTGACAGGAGAGGGGAGGGGGTGAGTGCATGTCTCTCCCAGCTCTCCTCCCCCTGAAAATCAGGCAAGCTCTAGATGGAGGAGGCCTGCCCTGTGAGTTCCTGCTTCGCAGGACTTGGCAGGACCGAAAAGGAAGAGTTTCATCTTGTGCAGAGGGTTCACAAATGGGAAGGCAAGGAGCAGACACCTGTGCACTGGTCACCAAGCCCCAGCACCCCCAGACCCACCGCCAGCCCACAGTAGGCACTCCAGATGCCCTTGCTAAACAGATGTTCCCAGGAGCCTGTTTTGTTGAGACCACAGGGAAGGAGAGGATGAGGGAGGGGAACGGGAGAGAGGTTGAGGAGGGGGCAGGTGCCAGTGGAGACGCAGGGGCTTGTGGTCCTCAAGGTGCTGAGGTCACTGGGAGAAACTGGCCGCGGGGCGAGAATGCTTCGGCTGTGACCCTCGTGGCAGATGGCATGGAGTGCTTTCTCCAGGGAGGCTCGTGTTTCAGCCATTTCGTTTGGTGGCTCTTCGTCTTCTCTCACACCTCACCCCTCCCTCCTGGCTCTGAGCCACAGGGACAGGCAGCGGGGGTGGCAGGCCATGGGGGAGCTCGCAGGAGGGACAATGGCAGTCGTCCCCGCTGGGCTCCCGTCTCTGGGCCTGGGTGGGCCTCAGCTGCCTGCCTCAGTCCGCCCGATCAGATATTCCCGGCAGAGCTCCCGCACAAACACAAACACAGGATGCGCCTGGCTGGCTTACGGCTCTTCCCAGCTTGGCCCGAGGAGAATCGGGGGAAGTTATTAACCAAACTCCTCGGCCCCAGCCAAACAATGGGAGGCACTAAGTTTAGCTGTGAACTCAACCAGGGCGCAGGTTCCACAGGCTGGGGGGGCCCTGTCCGAGGTGGGACACATGAGAGAGAACAATGCCCCGGGCTGGTCTGCCTCTCCGTCAGGGTTGGTCCCACCGTGAGGCCCCAGGTGGGGTCAGGGAAGCCAGAGCAGAGGCATGTGGCTCTGAGGAGAGGCCCGGGCCCCAACTGACTAGGACAGGTGGGCACAGGGGGCAGGAAACCGGGGAGACTCTGCTTTGGCAGCACTACCCACATCCGATTTTGCCGCCCTGTCCTCCTGCTCCCTTGCAAGGTGTGCCCTGGGGGCAGGCAGGAGTGTCCCCGGGTTCAGTGGGGTCTGCACTCACCCACCCAGACTTCGAGGCCCTCCAGGTCTCTCTCTCCCAGAACCCCCAAAGACACCCTGGCCTCCCGAGCAGCCTTGGGATGGCAGCCGTCTCTTGCCCCCTGCCCTCTCTATATGGCCTGTGCCCCTCTCTATATGACCAGGCCCTCCTCTCGCTGGTCTTTTCACTTAAACACACTCAGGCTCCTACCTGCCCCGGGCTGCTCCCTCCCAGCCCAAACTCCTGGACTTATCTGAGCTCTGCCACTGAAGTGCCTTTCCCCTCCTGCAGCTGGAACCAGGGGCTGGCGGCCCTCTGTGGGCCGGGCCATGGTGGGGGGTGTCTCAGGGCTGTCCAAGAGGCTTGCTCTCTGTCCTCATTCTCTCCAGGCTTCAGTGACCCGGGGTCCAGGGAAGAGAGCCCTCCTCTGCCCTTGAGATGAGGGAATGGAAGTGGAGACTCGAGCCCACCTTGGTGTGTGGCTGGTCTTGACGGAAACCCTCGCCCTCCCACCTGCCTGCTGTTGCGGGTGTACCTGAGGGTGAGACAGCAGTGGGGACGGTCGCAGGTACTTGTCCTTCAGGGCTCCCACGGGGTCTGTCACCTTCCGCTTTTCTACCCTGCTGGTCAGCAACACAGAGGGTTACGTACCTGCCGCACCTCCCACCCGCTGGGGGGCCCATCTATATCCATTTGGTCACCAGGCCGTGGTGTGTGATCCCTGGGGCTGCCTTGTCCAGTCTCCTGACTCCTCGATCAGCCTTGGGGATGCTGTGCCTGAACCCCCACCCACCTACATGGAGCCTCTCCATCACACATGCCCTTGGGCCCTGGCTCCCTCACCCCCCACTCGCAGGTGCCCCTCGAGTTCCCCCTAACTGCCCCAGCTGCCAGCACCCACGGGGGTTATGGACACTCAGTGCTGGAGCCTGGAATCTTCTCTGAAGGCCCCACGCACACTAGCATCCCACCAACTGGCTGGTCAGCTCTGTGTGGGGGGTGGGCGTCCTGTTGGGAGGGTTCCTGGATTTGCCTGCAGCAGAGTGTGGGTTACACTGGAGGCTCGATGCTCACACCCTGACTTCCCTGTCCCTCCTAGCCCTTGGCCCCTGTGCAGGGACTCATGTGAGTGACCAGCAGGCTTCTGTCCTGGGGAGGTTGCCAGGGACTCCTTATGGCAGCGAGCAGGACCCTGCCTGAAAACCTCCCTTGTGCTGGAGATTACAGTTCTAGAATCTTCCCCCGATGCCGGTGACAACTCTGTTAATTTAATCACAACACAAATATCCCACAGTGGGCAGAGGTGGCGACTGGGGCACCTGCTGACCCCTCCTTCATCTGATGGCCCCCTGCAGTGGGCCCTCTTGTGGTAAACCTGTTATCCCCCCATGCAGCCCCTCTGAACATATCCAGGATGGGCCGATTTTGCTCTATTTCCTTGGGACTTGCTCAGGGTCCCCCGCCCTGGTCTTCCTCACACCGTGAGGCAGATGGCTCGGGGACACATGCTGATAAGGCTAGGACCCCTCCCTCACCTCACCTGGCCCTGGTCTCCCAACCCACCTGCATCCTAGGGGGCTCCAAGCCTGCCCCAAACTGGGGTGGGTTCATTCAACTCACCTATCACTGGGAGAGGTGTCAGAGACAGGACGCTGGTGCTTAGAAAACTCCCCAAACTTCCTCCACCCTCTGCCTCTTTCTCCCCTCCGGGGACCCCGGCTCCTTCTCCAATTTCCCCTGGGCCACCAGAAAGCCCCCCATGGTGACTCTGAGGTCAAGAGGACACCAGGAGGTGGAGAGAGCTCTCGGAGGGGGTGGGGAGCTCTTCTGTGGGCAGTGGGGCATTGGTCCAGATAAGACAGTTGGAGATGGAGCCGGGGACTGTCTGGGCTTGGAGGAGCTCAAGGCAGGCAGTGGGACGTCCGAGTGGTCATCGGTGTAAGGGAGTGAGTCCCGGAGACCCCGTCCCAGCCTTTCAACGCGGTCCAGCCTGGGAATGGCCCAGCCTGGGAACGCTCCGGCCGGGCGCTCCCCGAGGGGTGCGGACCCCCAGGAGAGGCGCCTCCCCGAGGCTGGTGAAGGTGGGCAGAGGCCCCCGAGGAGGGGAAGGGTGGGCGAGGGTGGGCGGGAGTACCTGTAGATGGGGTCCATGAAGAAGGGCGAGGGCTTGGCGTAGTGGAGTGGGGGCTGCTGGGGCATCCTCGCCGGGCACACGGGCAGCCCCTCACCGGCGCCCAGTCTGCGCTCGCCGTACACGTGGTTCTTACGGGGCTCCCGGCTGCTGCCGTTCTGGCTGGCACGGGCCCGGCTGCCGATGCTCAGATCCAGCGGCTGCTCCTCGCCGGGCGTGGGCGCCGGGGGGCCCTTGGGTGCGGGCGGGACAGGCTTGGCCTCTTTAGGCTTGGTGGTGAGGTCGAAGGGGCACTCGGCGCTGGGGCCACCTGCCTTGAGGGCGTCCCGGGGCGACTTGGGCTCGGCCTTGACCAGAAGGTTGTGGGCGAGGGCTCGGTCCGTGAAGGGGTAGAGGGAGTGGGGGAAACTGGGCAGGAACTGGAAGGGGAACACTGAGTGGTACGGCAGCGCGCCCAGCTTTTTCTCCTGTAGCCCCATGAAGCCGGGGCCGAAGTACTTCTCAGCGATGGACGCGATGGCCTTGATGGAGTCGCTGGCCGCGCCCGATGCGGTCAGCAGCTGCTCGTCGGGCGGTGGGAAGAACGAGTGCTGGGAGTAGAAGACGGGCACCTCGGCCACACTGTTGGGGGCCCCCGAGGGCACCGGGCCGCCCCCAAACTCGGGCTTGCCCTCAGCTGGCTTGCCTTTGTCCTTGGCCTTGTCGGGGTCACTGTCCACGTCGCTGTCCAGGTCGGAGCCCGTTCCCGTGGTAGTGTCCAGGTCGGTCCCCGTCGTGGTGTTGAGGTCCTCGAAGTCACTGCCGTCCGACATGTCGCTGCTCCTGGTCTTGAGCTTTTCCACGTACGCCTCCTCCAGGCGGCCCTCCAGCTTCTCCTCGGGGCCCCCCGCTGCCGTGACGCCCTGGCTGCTGTTGCCGACTGCAGAGACCAGGGACAGGGTCGGATTCCCCAGGGGGCTGGGGAGCTTGGCGTCCCTTGTGTGGTTCAGGGGGCTCTTGAGCAGCGGTGTGGGAGGTAGCAGAGGTGGCCGGGGGTACAGGGACGGCGGGAAGATGCCCGGGAAGCCGGGAGCCAGTGCTGGGAATGCGGGGGGTGCCGCGGAGAAGGGCAGGCCCCCCGGGGGCGGCCGGGAGGGGAAGTACTCGCTGAAGCCCAGGCCGGCGTGGTTGAGGTTGGGGGAGGGCTTCGCCTTGTCCATCATGGGGCTGGAGGTCAAGGGCAGGCCCGGGGCGAAGATGCCGCCGGGCGTGTAATGGTTCTTGCCCTCGCAGAAGCGCCGGTGCTTGTTGAGGGAGGAGGTAGTGCTGAACATCTGCCCGCAGTCCTTGCACTTGATCTGCGTGCGGCAGTCGGCGTGCATGCGCTTGTGCCGACACAGGTTGGAGAACTGCGTGTAAGACTTGTGGCAGACCTCACCTGCAGCACCCGCGGGGGACAAGACCAGAGGGCATTACTGGAGGGCAGGCCGGGGCGTAGGCACGGGGGGGCTACACGCGAGTTTGGGGGGTGTGCGTGTCTCCACGTGCAGAGGCATCCACGTGTGTGTGCATTCTGTGTGTGTGCATGCCCATGTGCGTGTCACTGTGTGTATTGTGTATGCACGTGTCTGTGCACACATGAGCACACGTGTGCATGTGTAAATCCCTGTGCACACATGTGCCCCACAAAGACAACCCGTGCCTCTCCCCTGGGCCCCTAGGCCAGTTGGACTAGCCTCGGCCTTCCCTGTTGGAAAATGGGTTGCCACTCTGCACCCTTCTCCCTCAGAGTGGTGCTAATTCAGGAACTGAGCTTCTCAGATGTCCCTGGGGAAGGCGAGCCTGCCCCTGCAAGCCAGTTGAGGTCTATCGGGAGGCACTCAGAGTGCAACTTTAGCCATTGGCAGGGCCATTTCAGAGTGACTGTCCTCCTTCCTGTCCCCCAGGTGAGAGGAAGAAGGGGCTGCTCCCTACCTAGAAGTCTGTAGTGCTCCTAGCTTACTCCTCCCGCTCTGTCCCCAGCCCTGCCACCTGCATCCCGGGTGAGGGCAGTCTCAGGGGTGCACAGGCAGCTCACAGGGCTCTCAGGTGGCCCTGTCTGGGGAGTCCGGGCTCTGGGGCACCTGGTGGGCTCGGCCACCATGTGGGGGTGGCTGGAAGTGGGCATGGGAGGCCACCTCAGGCAGGACCCTGCAGGGAGGGGCTGGTTCCATGTTTGAGAAAAGCGAAAATCCCTCACCAGGGACCTTCTCAAACTGGGAAGGCAGCGGCGTGCCTGGTCCTGGCCGCCGGGTGCCAGCATTTCCTTCAACAGGAGAGGGCAGTGCCATCCTGGAGGAACACACACACACACACAAACACACACACACACACACACACACACACACACACATGCACACATGCAGCTCTCTCTGTAGGACCATTTGCTTCCTAAACACAGCCCGGGGGAAACCACGATTTTGGCTACTTCTTGCCTGCCACAAACCCTCCCCTGACTGATCTCGGGCGACTCTAGCTGGGAGCCTTTTCTCCCAGACCACCGCGCACTTTCATTGAGATATCTATTTATATGAGCCACTCTCCTTCCTGCCCGTCTGGCCTGGTGGGGCATTTTCAAGGCTGAGGGGGGAACTTTGGCTCATTTAGTCAGATCTTCCCTCTCTAGGGGCTATAAGGGAGTGGTGCTGGTCCCAGGGATGGGCTATAAATACACCTCGGGTCACCCGCCCGCCCTTGGGAGAAGCACAGGCCGAGCTGGCCATAGGCAACACCCTGACCCTTCCCCTGGCCCCTGGCAGGCCCTGGCGGTGCCTGGTTAGTGTGCTCATGCTGACTAGGAGATGGGCCTTGAACAGGCCTCTGCCCAGGGCAGCTCCGAGGAGGGGTTTCCCTGGCCCGTAGATGTGCCCGGGCTCAGGGGCCCGAGGTTCCCACCCACGGCGATGGAGGGTCCTGTGGTGGGTGGGCCTGCAGAAACGCGGAGCTGTGGAGAGGCCTGGGAAGCTGAGGTCCCTCGAAGGGCAGGTCCCAGACCCAGGGGAGGTGATAACGGGCTCAGAGCCAACAAAGGGAGGTGGTTGGTGGCGGGGCCGGAGAAAGGCCTGGACAGCCAGTGACCGGGACATGGGCACAACTCCCGATGGAGCTGAGTGTGTTGTTGTGCACGTGTGTGAGGGTGGAAGGGTTCTGGCCTATTCCTTGTAGGGTATCTGTGTGAGTTACTCCTTGTAGGGTGCAATTCACATACACACATGCATGTGCAACTCGCATTCACACATGCACAACTCACACATACATGCACAACACACTCACACACGCACAACACATTCACTCATGCACAATCCACCCTCACACACATGCATAACACACTCACTCATGCACAATTCATTCACACTCACACATGCACAACTCACACACACATGCACAACACAGTCATGTTCAATTTACACTCACATTTGCACACACACACAACTCATACACTCACATATGCACAATTCACACACACGCACAACTCACAAACATACACAACTCATATTCACACATGCATGGCTCACACACTCACACATGCACAACAACTCAGTCAGACATGCAGATACCCAATTCACATGCCCACATCACTCACATGGTCACACAACACGTTTACTCCAGCAAAGGTTCTTTTCTCAAGTGTCCAGCAGGAGCCTGCTGCCTTCAGGCCCAGCCCAGATGTACTTTCTCTCTCTCTCCCTCCTTCCCTCTCTCTCTCCCGCCTCTTACACACACACACACACACACACAATGTGCACACTCCCCAGTACAGGCTTGAACTCCGTGGTGGGAGAGATGTCACTGGGAATGACAGCCCCTGGGTCTGTGTGGTCGGCGAGGTGGGGACTTGGGGGCTTCCATCTGCGTGTGCCAGGGTGTGTCCCCTGCAGGTGGTCAGTCTGCACATGATGAGGCCTGTGAGCTTCAAGGTCACCTAGGCTGGGGTCAAGAGCCAGGCCCCGGAGCTGACGTTTGGGCTCCATGGCGTGACCTTGAGCCCCTGGTCACTTAAGGTCTCACAGCCTCAATTTCCTTTCATGTCAGTTGGAGACAGAAGGGCCTCATGTGGGAAATGATGACTCGGCACAATGTGTGTATGATGACTCAGCACAAAGCATGTGAGAAATGATGACTCAGCACTATGTGTGTTGAATGATGACTCATCGCAATGTGTGTATGATGACTTGGCTCAAGGCATGTGGGAAATGGTGACTCGGCACTGTGTGTTAAATGATGACTCAGCACCATGTGTGTGTCACAGTTCCTGCAAGGGTCCTGGGATCTGTACTGGTGACCTCTGACCCCTCCCTTGTTACCCGCCTCTTACTGGGGCCTTGAAACTTCGGCTCATGGCTCCCATCCCCCAGAGCCCGTGGCAGGTGCCCCGCTCGCTCTCCTGGATCACTGCCGGAACGCCTCCCACGCCTCTCACACCACACGTCAGAGTAATGCCCACCGCGGGCCCCCAACCTGGTCCTTCGTGAGTCTCTCACCCAGCACTGCTGTCCCGGGAGGGTGCCTGTCACCTTCTCTAGCTCGTCTGTCCTCCCAGGGCGCACAAGTTCCAGAGGGCAGGGCTGGTGGTGTAATTAGGGCCGGCCCTGGTGCTTGGTGCCCCAATGGGCACACGCAGGAGCCCAGGAGACATTGCCCTACTAGGCGTCCACTAGGGCGGCACAGATGGGCGCCTTCTGGAGCTTAGCGGGGACGGGCAGGCACGGAAGGGATCAGAGGGGCCAGGGAGGGAGGGCTGTGGCGCCTTCTGGCCCTTCCCACCACCCAGGAGCTGCCCCCAGTCCCGATGGGGAGAAGCAGGGGGAGGAGTGTGGGGGATGGGGGTGGGAAGCACAGGCACGAGACGACCCCTACTCAGAGGGTGCAGGGAGCAGAGTCGGGGTAGCACCGGGAGCTCATGTGGCAGGGATATCAGCACACACATCCCCTGAGTAGTGGGGGCGAGCCCTGGGCCTTCCCACCTCGCCTGGCCTCTGAGGCACCTGCGTGGAGTGGGGGCAGTGGGGTGGGGGAGGAGAGGCTGGCTGGATAGGGCACTTACATATGAAAGGCTTGACCGTGCTGTGGATGTGCTTGTGCTGCTTGAGGCCCGAGGACGTGGCGAAGGTCTTCCCGCAGTCCGGGCAGGCGTGGGCCCGTGCACCCACATGCTGTGAGCGAATGTGCCGCTGCAGGTTGCTGGGGTCCGTGAACACCTGGGGGAACAAATGCCATTGGCCTGTCCCTGTCGGACACCCCCATCAGCCAGGCTCAGGCCCAGACCCTGACTGTTGCACTGGCTGCTCCACCCTTTGCAACCAGCAGGCCGGGCCAGAACAGATCTCTGCTGTAGAGATGACCCTCTGATGACCTCAGGTGAGCCAGGAGCCTCCCAGCCTTGGGCTCCTCAACATTCCTGAGAAAACCATGGCTGTGAGCTTGCACAAGACCGGAGTGCAGAGAGCATTTTCAGTTGAGTCCTATGGCCTGTGGGGACAGGGCTGCAGAGGCATGCCCTGCCGGCCCTTCCTTTGCATCCCCTGGAGGACAAGGGCCTGCCCTGGAGAGGACCTAGCTCTGGTCTTGGCCCTAAACCTTCAGGGCAGGTGACACAACCTTTTCTGAGAAGTCCTTTCCCTCCCAGTAGATGGAAGAGCCTGAGTGACCCCAGGGGCGTCTAACACCTCTGCCACAGCCTGTCCGAATGGGCTGTCCGAATGGCCGGGGGTGGGTGGGGGAGGCTGGGAATGTGGGCCTGGCCTCAGCCCCCTGCTGTGCCGGGCTGAGCTGGGCGCCAGGGGTGGGGCACACGCTACCTTCACACAGTTTTCACATTCGAAGCGCTTGCCACTGTCGTGGGACATCTGGTGGCGGATGAGGTTGGACTTCCAGTTGAAGGCCTTGGGGCACTGGTCGCACTTGTACTCCCGCTCCTCGGTGTGCACAATCATGTGCTGCTCCAAGCTGTGCACAGGGACGGCTGGCTTCAGGGTCCGGTCACCCGCCCCTGTCCAGGAGGGAGCACCGCTCCATGTGGAGCCCCCCACCCTGCCGGGGATCAGAGCACGTGCTGACGTTCCCCCGTTCTCTCCTCTACAACGGCCAGCGGGCGTGAGAGGCAGAGATGGTCTTCCCGGAGCAGATGAGGAGGCCGTGCTGGACAGACCTCCGCCCCTCACTCAAGACTCCCCAGGAGCTGCAGGCAGGGCTGGACCCCAGCCCACACTCCTTGCCTCTCGGGATGATCTTAGCCTTGATGCTAAGCTTGGACTTTAGCAAAAAGGGGTCCAGAAGCATCAACATCATCACAAACCCCAGTGGGGGGACGAGCCCTGGAAGCCAAGGGCCACTCCTCTGAGTAGCCAGGCACCTGGGAGGAGGCGGGTTGGGAGTCAACTGAGGGTCTGCAAATGGGAGGCGGTGGGTGCGGAGTGGCTGCTCATGGGGGCTGCCCCACGTGGATGAGCAAGCAGCTCCTTGCCCCCGCCTCTCGGGGGACACTCTGCCTCCCTCCTGTCCCTGCGATGACCGTTAATCTTCATGAGCAAAGCAGTAATACATCACGGTGCGTTAATTACGGGCTCAGCCATCCATTTAGCTCAGAAGTGCCTGGTCCTCACGCGGGGAGACTGTATCTTTTTTCTCCGTGGTTAATTGTGATTTATGTGTTTATGTAAAGAAAACATGGGCCCTCTTGAGCAGACTCGCTGCGAAGTGCCATGGTCGGGATTTCCCAAGGCTTATTTTCTCAGTCATCTGTTCGGGATAGAGAGTCTGCCACCCCTAGGGAGGCTGTGATGGGACCCGCTAAATCCCAGCAATCACATAGCCGGTTAGGGGCCTGATGGGGTTTAGCTTTGACTTGCAAGGCTGGTCTGAAGGAAATCCTCCAAGGTGGGAGGAGGGACCCGAGCTGGCAGTTTCCTAGGCTCGTGGAACACTGGGACCCAACATCCTGGCTTCACTCCGGCTGGGCCCAGAAAGTGTGTCCTTCCCGGGGATGACAGGAGTCCCCAGACTCCAGGCTCCATGTCCCAACTCCTGCCTGGCCTGTCTCTGAAGTCCCTCCTGGGACAGGTGGCTGCCACCCAAGGGAGCAGGGCCAGAGTCTTCAGGATGAAGGACCCCACGTGATCCCTTCCCACTCCCGCCCACATCTAAGAGGGAGTTACTGGTATGTGCAGGGGGTGAGGCTGCATGGCCCTTCAGTGTGGGTGCTGTCCCTGACCCAGTCTGGGGCCTCGTTACAGAAGCAGCCCTGGTGACAGCTGCTGTAGAGGGGCTGTGCCTGTGCGTTCCCTCCTTCCCGGTTTGCCCCCATGACACAGCCCTGGTCATGCAGCGCCACAGGGCCAGCGGCACCCCAAGTGGGAGATGCACAGATCTTCCGGGGGACCAGGCCCTTCCGGTTAGTGCCAGGGGACACAGAGGCTCTGACCCTGGGCTTGTGCACCTACTCTGTCCCCAGTGCCGTGAGCATGAGCCAGCCTAGGGGGCTGTGGATGTGTCCCAGGGCCTGTGGCACTGAAGGGGCCTTTGGGTCTGCCCTCCCTGGAGCACTGGCCTGCCATAGTGGGTGGGATGGGGGAGGGAGGGGAAGGGGGAAGGAGCAGAGGGCGTAGGGGATCGGGGGGCATGGGGACCAGGGGGGTACAGGGACCAAGGAGATGCAGGGACCAGGGGGAGGTGAGGACTCGGAAGCATGAGGGCTGGGGGTACATGGGGACTAAAGGGGTGTGCAGGGACCGGGGGCCACAAGGACTGGGGGATGTGGGAACTGAGGGGAACAGTAACCAGGAGCATAGGGACTGTGGGGGCCACAGGGACCAGGAGGAGCTGGGGACAGGGAGGCGCGGGGACCAGGGAAGGAGTGGAGACCGGGGGTGGAGGGGTTGTGGGGACCACGGGGCATGGGCACCAGGGGGGTGTGGGGTCCAGCGGGTGTGGAGACAATGCCGGGTGCAGAGATTGGGAGGGGCTGGGGACAGGTTGGGGTGGGGACCAGGGAAGTTGTGGAGACTGGG